AACCGAATGAAAAATAAATTGAAATGGTGATGTTGAAAAAGACTATTTGTGATATCCTGCTATTCTACCCTTGTCTGGATTAACATTATGCTTTATTACTGTTAGCAGTTTATATAACCTGACTCTTACCAAATCTCAAAGACTTAATCCAAGGTACAGCTAAGCAGTCTTAAATCCCTACAAGAAATGGATGTGTTTTGTTTTTTTTTTTTTGTTTACAAAAACCCAGAAAACAAACAAACAACAGAAAATAAATCAACCCCCCCCAATATAATAAAAAAGAATTCAAAAATAAAATCTGTTTCATAATATAATTTGGCTTGCCAATGCGAGTAAGACTGGAATAAAATTACATTTCTGAGTATGCACTCAAAAAATGAAGAGCTCTGAATTCAAATGTCAGTTCTTTCCAGAGGTCTTCTTTTGGTTTGGGCATAACATTACAAACATGTTTCGTATCAGCTGCAAGAAAGAAGCCGTACTAGTATCTTGTTTTCTTCCAGAAAAGCAGTGCTTTAGGGAGGATTCCAATGACAGCTCAGATGAGAAGCTTGCTCCTGAGATGCAGCAGGAAGACTGCATGACTTTGTGCCATATAGGTAGGATGAAAATATCCATGTTTTACAAGATGGCAGAAAATTGCCTTGAAGGAGTCTTCTTGAGAGAGTAACAACTAACTGACAGATAATATTAGAAGGACCCAGTATGAGGAACAGACTTTTTTTTTAAGTGGCATTTTAGAAATAGTGGTTAGGAACGCCCAAACTAGATATCTACAGAGTCCTATCAGTTTTATGGTGTTGCCAATTACAACTGCCTGGTGAGTGCACAGAGAGACCAAGAAGAGTAGTATATTTTATAAAAGGCTATTTTTCCAAGACCTACTGACTCAGAGGGAATCATTCATTAGTCACCTCTGGAGAAAGTTCACAGAAAACAGTACAGTGAAGGAAACCAATAGTAAATACACACAAAACTCAGCACAAATAAATTTGAGATACTGCTTTCTACTTTATGGACTTATGTGTCTATGCTTTTTACACTGTCCTGAAAAAATACCTAAAGAAATTCAAATCCACAAATCCTTTACCACAACGCTTCTCTCTATCCTTTCACCTTCTTCCAGCCACCATCCCAAGAAAGATGTGCTGAAGAAAATAAATACATTTAGAAATCCAAAGACAGGCACTTCAGCCTTTTTCTGTTTCCTCCTTTCCACACCCTGTAACCCTTTCTTTGCTATTCTCATTTATACTTGGAGTTTCCCAAGCCCCAAGCTCTTACTTAACTAGTTGCATTTTTTTTCCTCCTAGACAATTACCTCTAATTAAAAATGCTCTTTCAAAACGGCCAGGCAAATTCAAATCTCCTGCACAGTTTTACCATCCAGTCACCTCTCACGTAATCCAGTAGTTTGATTTCAAAAGGAAGTGTAAGCTATCAGTTCTTCATACTTTCTCCTTCCAGTGAAGTGTATGCATATAGGAAAAAAATTTCCTCTTCCATAACACTATTCTTAGGTTTTGCTAGAAAGGAAGTGAAGTACATTGTAAGTGGTTTTAATATTGATTTTGCTCCAGAAGAAAACTAATAGAAAAATCTAGACGCTTGGAAGTTACAGTACTGAGTGCTACAGAAAAATCCTGAACAATACAGGTGCTTGGGGATTTCTCACTCTTAAATCTATATCGCCAGTATGGGTAGTCTGTTGTCAAAAGCATGTTTTCTGACAGATACCAGTCTACACTGAAAAATCCACATGTGACATAATAAAAGCGATCCTTATCACATACACCACCCCAAAGTGTTACACTCTTTCTTGATGTAACTTCAGCGATGCTACAAAGAGGTTATATAAAGGCTTTTGAAAAAGCTCTGAAAGAGAGTGTATAGACAAACGAATTCAGGGGTTTCAGGCTGTGAATTCTAAGGCTCTAGCTCCTGCAAGCTCAGACTGAGGCACTGAAGTCCCCAGAGTGGGGTCAGTTTTCGAAAACAATAAGAAGGTTGAACAATATCCCATTACTCTTCCATCAGTTCAGCATTTTAGGTAGTCACCCCTACAAAGCTTTGCATAAAACCCAGACCACTAACATTGCAAGGAATGGAAAAGGAAAGGAAATCCAAGACAAGAAGGATAATTTTGTCAATTACAGTTCCTTTAGTAATTGGTACAGTGTAGTAACATCAACCAAAATAAATACAATTATTTTTACATAATACAAAAATATAACCCTTCATAAATTTTATATTGTGCTAGGAATTATGCATTGAGCTTAAGCAATGATATATAACATTTTCTCTTAAATAATATGGACAGGTATACTTAGCCAAATGAATGTAGTAACATTTTCTCAAATTTGAAGACAAACACATAGAGAACAGTTTATTATTTCAGTGTATCCATACATGACATCTTAGCTAGGATTTGAGAGCAACCCAAGTCTTTCAAGTTTTCCCCTTGCCACTGTTCTCTATTCATAGCACAGTAGTTCTATAACCATATGGTGAATTCAATTTTTGACAGTAGCATTTATTAGCAGATACAGAAGAGTATTATTCAGACAACCAGCTTAAGGCACCATGGTTTCCACAACTGACACATGACATTACTGGAAAAAAGAATTTTAAAGGCAGTTATGAGTGTTTAACTATAGTACTACAATGAACAACAATCTATTCTTGACAACACACTTCATTGACTAGTGTGGCTTTTGTTCTCTAAAAAGAGTAGTAAAATATATGATTTTAACATTAATACAATCTGAAGAATGCATAAACTCTTTGCACAAAAAAAATAATTCTCCCTTCATCCCTCCATTTTAAAATGTAAGAAATTCCAACCATCACCCTTGTAAGACAATTCTTTTACAGACTTTTTGGAAATACAGTTTCCAACACATTATATGGTAGAAGTCCACTAAATCATCTCCATTATCCTTTAAAAGAAAGTATATCTAACTGCTGATAACTGTTGTCCCATGTCCCTCTCCCCCAATTCTGTACTGAATCTATCAACTCTGCAATTACTAGCACTGGTGAACAATTTATTTAAATGAAATCAAGTTTCTCCTGGAGTCCTAAAGAACAAACACAAGTCCTTGACTTCCTTAAGACCTCTTGACCTCTTCCCTAGCAATAGCCCATGACACTGGCTAAAATTTAAAACAATATGAAGTGAAACTATCATCCTGACAGCACCTGACACAAAGACCCAAACAGCTACCTTGTCAAAACTCTCTTAAACCTCAACAGTGAAAAGTAGGATTCAAATAGAATCATAGAATCAACTGGGTTGGAAAAGACCTCCGAGATATCAAGTCCAACCCTTGATCCAACACCGTCGTGGTTACTAGACCAGGGCACTAAGTGCCACATCCAGTTTCATCTTAAAAATCTCCAGGGACAGTGAATCCACCACCTCCCTGGGCAGCCCATGCCAATGTCTGATTACCCACTCTGTAAAAAATTTCTTCCTAATATCGAACTTAAATTTTCCCTGGTAGAGCTTAAGACCATACTAGGATAGGACCGTAATAGGATAGAACAGGATAGGACAAGGAATAAATTCATTAAATTTCACTACAGAAATTGTGCATTCCATACTGTACATGGTAGTTCAAAAAACCACAGCCAAGACACATTCACAGAATCATTTAGAATTTCAGAATATGTTTCAGACACATCACAGGCAGATGTCAAAAGACTATGGTCGTGACAAAGTCACTGCAGCTTACTTGCTTCCATTCCATTTATCAGAGAAAAACAAGAGTAGATTTGGCATCACACATTACATACTTGGAGAAATATTTTCCAAATTACTATCAATTCTGATAGTACTCCTTCCATTTACCTATCACAGAATAGTCAGGGTTGGAAGGGAGCTTCCGAGATCTAGTCAAATCCCCATTTGTATTCCTGCATTTCAGAGTAGGACTGCCTGCAACTACTTGTAATAAATAACGAATATCCACTACAGTGTTGACATATTATGCAATGAATCCCCAACGGCTTTCATTTGTGTACTTGTCCACTTGGTCAGCCAAAACTTTGGCTCTTACCTGCACTTAGTGCAGAGCATTAGTGAGATTTTTCTGTGCCTTACAATAATGCCAGCCTTGAAGTCAGACATTTTATTGACAGTGCAGAGAAAGACCTCAAGATTTTCCCCATTTTCTCATAACAAATACCAGCAGCATATAAAATGCAAATTTGCCTTTCACTACCTAATTTTCCCTTAAGGTCCAATGAGCAGAAATCTTGTTATATTGTTTCTGCATCTTTTGCCCCTGAACTTTTACAGTTTATCGACTTTCACATTCATTTCCTGAAATTAAGTGAAACACCCCCCAGAAGTAAACTACACAGGTCATGTGCTATCATATGTACAAGCAACTATGAAAAAGTATAGCTCAGATTCCAGTAACATAATGAGCAACAGTGATTTCCTCCATTTCAAATAAACTTAAAATAAATAATTTCAATTAAAGCAAGAGCTTAAACTATGACAGCAATGTAGTATATAAAAAATAAGACCTATAGAGAATTAATCTTGCTATTGTTACCTGATCATATCTAACCACAGGAAATTTCTGACTCAATCAACAGCAAAATTTCCTAAGCTAAAATCCAGATCTAAGAATGACATAAAACAGAAAAGAAGCTGGAATAACATTCTCTATGTTAAACACAGACATTCTTCATTAACTGAACTATCCATACCCTAGGTTTACAATTAACTTTGGTCATGTTCTGAATATACTCCACTTTCTGAACAACTGGTAACTTTAGGATACAGAATTTATCTGTAAGGACCTATTACAGCCTTCTAGTCCTTTTGCATGACTGGGTTAATGTTGAATTAACCAAAGAAAACTGAAATCATCTTGTATGATTGGTTTCAATCTCAGTTACCTAACAGACATACGACAAAAAAGCACCTATGAAAGCAGTGCAAATGTAAAGGCTCCATGACAGGGAAAGAAAATAAGAAAAAGAAGTTCAAACAAACAAACAAATAAAAAACTGTATTGTTTTCCTCAGTGGTTGTTTACTATTTTGCCTTCTGGCAGATGAAAGAAGTTATCTTCTTTGAGTTTAAGATGTTCTGCTAAATCTAGCTGTCTTTTTGCTTCTTCAATGTCTTCCTGAATTGCTGAAATGAGCGCCTCTGAAAAAGATAAGAATATGGGTATTTAAAAGTTGGTCTGAATTTTGAACACAGTATCAAGTGAAAACATGGGGTACCACAAAATATCAAAAAACAATCACAGAAGTAGAATATAATTATGAGGTCTAAAGGCAGAGTTCTTTGGGTTTTCAAACATGACAGAGTTGCATTTTTACTTGTTACAAGCACTACTCTCTTGCTTTTCCAAAAGACTTTAGCAGTTCTGTTTCAATACTAATAGTATTGAAATACTACCAGTATTGAAATACTACTGCATTTAAAAGAGAAATGAACACATTCAACTGATGCTTCTACAACAAGTCCTTGATTTTAAATTACTCCACAGACAAGTGACTGAAAAATAGTTTTCTAGTGGAAGATGTGGGAGTATGGTCTTGGGTTTTTTAGATAATGAAAACCTTTTACTGAAATTTCAAAGGTTAATAGATAAAACATCTCATAGTAGAAGGAAAGACAGGGAAGACATAGAACTTGCATGAGTAAGACAAAAAAGAGATTAGTTTGAGAGAGACCTCCAATACTGACCTAAGGAATCAAAGTTTTTTTCCGGTCGAATATATCCAACTATGACTATACTAAGAATTTCTCCATAAAAGTCTTCCTTGAAGGTGTGGATAATATGTGTTTCCTAAAGGAAGAGAAATAAGTGGGCATTTATTATGAACTTAAGAGTTTCTTTCCCTATCTGTAGGCATGTAGACCTAATATCCATCATTCAAATTTTCCTCAACAGAGAACAATAAAAGGGATGTTTAGTTTAGAATGTACAATGAAAGATTAAAACACTAGGGCTTTAGTTTATGTCATGAAGAAGAATTGCATTTTGTATGAAATTTAAAAAAAATACTCACTTAAAAAGTATTCTGATAGCCAAAAGGGAAAAAACAAACAAACCAGAGAGACATTACTCAGGAGAAATGCTTCACCACTTCTCAGAGGTAATATTTCCAAGGCAGGAAATCCCAAACAAAGCTTAATGCTTCATCATCAAGTTGATGCATCCAAATAACTACGAAGATTTTGATTGAAGCAGGTGGCTTAAGGTGACCTTTTACAACTAGCTCACATTGGAATTTAATGATAAAATTCAAGAACAAGTGCAGGCTGAAACACAGTTCCACCTTACACTCAAAAACATTTTATTCACATCTGCCTCTTCAAAATAGGCTGACCCATAGCATATACCAGCAGAGCTATCATATGGGAAGCTTTGAACTAGTTGCTCAGGAAACTTATCTGCAAAAATTTTTAAAAGTATACATTTCCCTGGGACAAACACTTAATAGCAGAGATTCACGCCCAAACAAAATTGTTTTCAATAAATAAAACAGAGCTCTGCAAGACTCAGGGAAAGCACCAGCACCTGATAGCAAGAAAATCACAGCTCGAGATTTTAACTTCTCCATCCTATTATTACACACCTTCAAATATTTATTCTGTATATAAAGCCACACCACCTCATGTTTGGATTCCATAATTTAAGAGAAGTATTAATAAAAAAATCATTAAAAATTAAGATGCTCCAACATCTCTTATTTGAAAAGCAGATACACTGCAGAAAACCATAGATTATTAGTATGTTGCAGCTCATGCTAGGGCTCTCATAAGCGGTAAATTCAATGCATTTATCAATTTATGCTTAACTTGCTATCAACATCTCGAGCAACCATCATTTCAAGTAGGGTTATACTTTTATTTTAGAAATAATTAAGAAATGGTGGAACAGAAAGAAGAAAATAAATTTTAATCACCTACATGTCTATACTTGGGGGATAGAGAGAGTATGTTCTTTATAGAATATAAATATGATATAGATACCAAATGCATTTCTAAGAGCAAATTCCTAGATCTCATTCATGAATTAAATTCTGCTTATCTTATTAAAATTCAACATCTGGCTCGTGTTACAATAAAAATCCCATACAAAGCAAAATTCTTACCACTGATTTCTTAGTATTCCTATAGAAAGGGTTCCATCCTATGCTCAAAACCATTTTATGTACATCTCCATTTCCAACACAGGCCCATCCATAGTATATACCAGTAGAGATATCAGGTGGAAAGCTTTCAACCACTTGCTCAGAAAAGTTAGCTGCAAAAATTTTAGAAAGTGTAAAATGGGAGTGAATGTGTAAGTCAGGGACATAACAGGATCTTCAAATACTGAAAAGCCAAACTCTGCCTACGTACTACTTATAAATGTAACACCGGCATTCATGAGAATAATGCAACATGCCATTTGGTAAAGTATAAAACAGCTTCATAAAATTAGCCCCTGTGGCAATACCAGAGGTATTACATCTATCTCGCATTGGCCTCTTTATCCACCAGCGCGCTTGTAGCAAACGTGGGCAGAGTCCTTCCCAAATCTTCATTCGCGAAGCCCAGCCATGATGATGATATCTTTTACACATGCTGTATTTTACAGTTCACTTTCTCTTCTTCAATAATAATTAATAAACATGCCATATATCCAGTCAGGATGCATTTCACCTTTAGGATAACTATCATAGCTTTAATATGGTGAAAGATGAATTAAAAAAATTAAGTTTCTTCTGCACTATAAAGTAGCATCCTAGAACTATTTACTTGTTAGTAAAATACTTACCTATGAATAAAATATGCAGGAATAAATGCGATTATTATTTAACCACTTGTCAATTTTGTACGAGTTGCCTTTTGGAGACATCTGCGGATTTCTGTGATTTTCTTTGAAAACTACAAAATTATAGCAAAATGAAATTCCCCTCTGATTGAATTTAACATTCTCTCAAAATTAATATCCTACTTCTATTTACCAAGTGGGTAAATGTCTTCATGCAAGATATGAAGTTGATTTAAAATATACATTTACTACATTTTTATCAAAGCTAAAAAACAATGACCCCCCTTCCCTGCTCCACAGTACCAACACAGTATTTATAAGCAATCAAGGGAAAAACGTGAAATCCTGCCAGAAATTCAGCACCACGAGAATGGTCTCGTAGAGTTTCACAGCTGTTACAATTAGTGCAATATGACTGCTGACTTCAGTGGCTGTTTAAGGCATTCAGACAACTGAGAAAGATAAGGAACAGGCAATTATATTCGCTGTAGGCGAAGCCCACCTACTAGGTTTTAACCTCTGCTTTATTCCCCTTGAACTCTTCTCCTTAAAGCGATTCCCAATACCTACTCCCATTCTTGTTCTGAGATTTATCAGAACGGTGCCATAGCACTGTGCATGTGATCACTTATCTATATCCTGTAGACCATCATGACTAGACAGAGATCGTTCAGAGAAACCTCTTAACAGACCGAGGGGCGGGGAATAACACAAAAGGAGAATGCAAGACTCTAAGCAATGCAGGAGGGAAAAAAAGCCTCAGGAAAAGGCTGGCACGGCACAAGGCAGGGCTGTTTTCGGGAAGCCAAGTCACGACAATAAGGCAGCAGTGCAGGGCAGCCGGGCGGCTCCTGGGCTGAGGCGAGCTTAGTCACGGCGCTCCCGCACCCTGACGGGCAGGAGCACGGTGCGGATGCGGGTCCGGCTGCGCTCGGGGTCCGACAGGGACCGGCTGCAGAACCCCCGGCCTGGGCTCTCGCCGGCGGGAGCGCTCCCGGGGCTCCGTGGCGGAACTCCCTCGCCAGGCCAGCCGAGGCCAAGGCGGACACACCTCCCGTGCCCTTCCGCGGGATGATGCCGCCCCGCCCCGCCCCCGCCCCGCTGCACCGGTGGGATGGCCCAACCTCTTGGAGCCTCTGCCGAAGCCCTTCACCACCTCCCCGCGGCAGAAAAGTACGGCAGGTGCCTCAATCGGCCGCAGGGCAGAGCGGCCAGCCCCAGCGCCGCCGCACGCGCTCCGCCGCTACCCCTCGCACGGGGCGCTCACACGCGCAGGGGAAGGATGGGGCGGGGCGCTCTTGCTTTCTATCCATACGGCTCTCCGGCGGGGCCTGCCCGCCCTCCGCAATGGGCCCGTCCGCCCCGCATGCCCAGTGCGCTGTATCCGGCGCCCGGAAGGCGGGGTCGGGCGGAGCGCCAGGGCCGGCGCTGTGGAGGGTGCGGTCCCGTGCTCGGTAACAGCCGTGACCTTCGCTCCTGCCCGCGGGACTCACGCTCCGCGCCCCGGGGACAGCAGGGCCCGGTCCCTCCTGCGGCTTCGTGCCATGGAAACTGAGCAGTGGCAGCTGTGACTGTGCTGCACCGGCTGCCACATCCTGACCCTCTCATCTGAAAGGCTGCGCGTCGCACCCAGGGCCCACGCGATAAGGATCGCCGCTCCCTTGGTAACTCTGGGTTTGCCTTTTCGTTTAGAAAAGGCCAAATGCTTCAGTGCAGAGCAGACATTTGTGAAAACTCTGAGAGCAGGACTTTTTGTTATATGGTAGTAACCAACTGTAGTTGCTTGTTTAAGAAAAAAAAAGGGTCAAACTGAAACAAAACCAAAAACGCCAAACATTTTTACTCACCTCTGATTTACCATCATGCTCACATTCCTTTTCTGTCATTATCACCGGTAGTGCAGGGATCTCCTTTGGACAAAAAAGCACCAAGACAGCACTCTATATAACTGTGTTCACTCTATATAACTTAAAGAAAAATGAAGGGTAACAGAGCATTTCCCTTCCTTCAGTTCCTGTCTCCAGTTGTTCTTTATCTTTTTATGTTGATAAAGCTCTTTAATGTATTTAGGTGATTAAAACTCTTTCCTATGGCTCTCATGTGGCTCAAATAAATTTGAGTTTCTCTAAGTTCAAAATAGTATTAAGTGTGAAAAATGTCTATAATCTTTGTAAATTACAGAGCAGCTAGCCTGCCAGCATACAGTCTGTTTGTATCAGTGATACATAAGGCCATTTGAGTTCTAGTGTCTCATTCAGCACGCTATTCTGCACATAAGCATATTTGTGTTTAAATGCATAAGTATCCAGAAACCATCAAAATCCCTGAAGTGAATTTGCAGTCTTTTCCCCCTTCTAGAACACAGTGTTGCTGATTTTGATTCAAAGAAACCTAGAACAATCTGAAAAGCACTTTTATTACGGCCGGGGAATGCAAAGGGGCAGGTATTTTCCCCAGTGCACTCTGCTGAGCCAAGAAATACCATAGCCTTTTATACAGTTTGAAAGTAGCAAGTTTAAAATTATACACACTCTTTTGCAGTCTGCCTTATCTAAACAGACATTTAGTTTTACCTCCTCACTATTATAGAGTAGTTACATAAAGTTTTATCATTTCAAGCAGTTTCAGGTTCCCCACCCCTCTCTACGTGCTAAAAAGGCTTCCCTATTCTCTAAACTATTTTATCTCAATTGCCCACAGTTTAGGCAGAAACTTTTAAGCAGTTTTATACTATGCAAAGTCACACTTACATCGCTAAATAGCTAAATTTTATTTCGTTTTCTATTTCAGTTTCACCAGTTTGATACAGGTTTCATTCGTGAAGCCTAGCCATGATGACAAGAATATTTCAGGACTTCCTTCTAATTTGGTTAGCTATTTTTAATGGGGAAAAGCTTGTAAACATCTATGACTTGTGCTAGTATTTAATTGCATTCCAAGTAAATAACTTTTGCAAAATGGGACCTGTTCTGAGAAACTGACTTATATGTCATACTTATAAAACACTGACTGTTACCACTTCATGGAATCTGAGGTCACAAGCTATTTTAGATAAGAAGGCAAAAACAAATTTTAAGAGTGATTGTACCTTAAACTTAACTTCTTCAGTTTCTTTTATCTCAATTCCCCACCATCTTTTTTAGGCAAATGTTTAAATTCATTACTTCAGTAGCTTTTGAGTAGCTTTGACCGACTTAGAGAATCACCATATATGTAGCTGTTACTGAGTAACAGTGGTGGTAGAATATAGGTAAGGAGGAAAAGTGGAAGAGAAAGATATCCTGAGTATGTACTACCAGATCTATTCTGTTCTGCTCTCTCTGAGCATGTAGAAAATACTGTTACAAAAAGTGTTTTAAGTGGTATTTCATAACGGAAGTGTCTTGAATATTAAGTCCAAATCTTGAAGTCATTGCCTAGTTGCTTAACTAATGACAGACCATTAACAGCTGACAGTGTGACCCCATGGCCACTAGTTTATTTCAGCCGAAGCAGAAGAAACAAAAGCAAAAAAACCTTATTTTCCAAAACTTGTTTCTTCCTGATAGTAACGAATAATGCAGCAGGTTCGTATTTAAGGACATACATATTTGTGGTCTTTCCTCTCCTCCCCACGCTTTTTTTTTTTTTTTTTTTTTTTGGAACGAATCCATCTTTTCAGAACAAATGTTGATGTTCTTGTGACATCCACAAGATGGCATGCGTGGAATTCTTTTTCAGCGTCTGTAGGTTTGGGCAAAAGGTTTACAACCTTAGTCACCAAGAAGACCTTGAGAAATACTAAGTCGAGGAACTATTTGTTTAACAACTACATGGTTAATTAATTTCACAGAAGTCTAAACGACGATTTCTCTCTCATTCTGTCAAATAGTTGAAACATTTTTAATTTTCATCAGTTTTCATGATGGGTAGCTGTGATCCAGCTACATTAGCCCCCCCTTGATACTATGTCCTTGTTTTTCTTTTGTTATTAATTATATATAGTTCATATTGGAGAGGGGGGATCTTGAACAAGTAGAATTTAGTTAACTAAAATTTAGAGTACTTAATTCTGCTAAAATTTAGTAGAGTTAGTAGACATGTTTCCTCCAAAAGCGTCATCAAATTTTAGTGATGAGCATGTCTGCTGGCATTGTCAGTCAACAGAAGAACAGTTTGATAGTTCCTACTTGCAGTGAGAAAACTCGTGCTATTTCAGGCAGCTAGGGAGGAACTTCTGTTCCCTGCTTATACTACTGTACCTACAGTTATTGTTGTTAGTGGAAGGCATTTATATTTTTTTCCTAGGATGTATATACAGCCATAGAAACCAGAATAAAGAAAGCAGAGCATGTGTTATGTTTAGGGCCTATGTCAGGGTACCTGATTGAATATAAGCTTTGCGGACTCATTGTACTAACCAATATTTATTGCACGGCAGAACATACTCTGTTCCTGTTGGTTTGCAGTAAAATGTAAGACTTGTATCGCATCACAACCCTGTGCCAGAGTCCCGTCTCCTGCTCACATGCTGCAAAAGCCTGCATTTTTATGCAGGCCTTAAGGTGAGAGCAGGAATATCCTGTTTCCTCCATGTGATATGGAAAAATAGCAAACCCATACCTGTTGGATACTGGGATATTCTAGCCAGACTGGAAATTCTGGTTACACTAGGCTCAGTGAAATATTCAGGAGCTGACTCAGAATAAAAAATGCCATGTAGTAAAACTAGTAGCATTTTATCCAGCTCCTTGGAAGTTTCCATTCCCAGAGTGACAAAACTCTCATTGATTCAGGAGTTCAATTCAAGGACACTCTGGCAATCCTTAATATTAGTGTGCTGAAACCAGGTGATGAAATAAAGATATGTACTAAACAGTCATGTAAGAATGTCTAACAAATACCTGCTTTGAAAGTATTTTTTCTGTATTTTAGTCTGGAATAGGAAACCAGAGAAGTTAATTTTTTCTTCTTTTTTTTCTTTTCTTTTTTTTTTCTTTTTCTTTATTATTTTTAACAGTCTGAAGTTTTGTTCTAGTTAAATAGACCTAGGTATTTCTCTGAGGAGAAATACCTGAACTTTAATGTAATGGCTACCCAAGACTGCATTAGATTACAGTAAAGCAACAGGTATGATTAATGTCTGCATAATAAGGCATAGGTGATATTATCTACTGAACATCTTCTGGTAATGACCAATCATTCTAGCAACTACCATTTGTATGGTACTAAACTATGTATGAGAGACAAAACTTGTTTGATTACTATTGGTTCAATTCAGATATTGCAGAAGTATAACATAAAGGCATAATGCTTCATGCTTTTTGAAAGCATGTATTCAAAAATTCCTTCAGCCTTTGAATCACTGTTTCTCTCTCTACTGCCTTTTCTCCACACTAAACCCTCAACTAGCTTCTTAAAAATGCGTAGCATTGCTTTCAACTAGCTTCCCCTTTTCTCTGCACAGCATTGTATTGTGCCATATGGACCTGCTTCATGTTTAGTGCTCAAAATTCTCGAAATTTTAATCCTGCTGAAGAACCCAAGCTTTGCTTTTTTTTTTTTTAACGTCTTTAAATGCATTTTAAATCCCTCCCTAATTTTCCTTTTTCCAAAAATAGTTTAATAGATGTCTTAGATTAAATAACTGTGACCTAACTAGCTCTAATTAAGTTGGATCATAATGATGGTCCTTTGAATGTCAGGTGTGTATCACACATATTTTTTTTCCAGCCACAGCTGGCCCAGATCAAAATGTTTGTAACCAGTCAATCCCATATTATAAAAGCAATTAAAACCTTTGACTTAAATTCTAAGTTGCTACAAAAGGAAAGATACAACATAGCCTGATTAATGGTTTGGCACAATCTTCAGGAGAATCCTGCCAACAGAGGCTTTGGTAGCACAAGAAAAGTAGTACAGGGCAAGGCATCTCAGGCAATTTATTACCTTGAAGATAACTAAATGAGATTCTCATATGTTTGAGAGTCTCTGTTCCAAAATACCTTGAATTTCTCAGCAATCAACACAGATTGCTACCAGGAATCCCACAATGAAATGTAGAAGAACAAGACTGGGGATCTCAGTGACGTACATTAGGAGATGTTTACTGTATTGTCATGACGTGTGCAATGCCTTGCAGGTGGAAAGATGTTAGACAACTTGGAGGTTCCTATCAAGCTATTTCTGAACAGTATTCCTGCAGAAATGGTGTGTAAGCAGTAACCATGTGTTACAGGAGGTAGTTAGCTGAGATCTGTTAAGAAAGCCACAAACAATGGGACAGATTTTTCAGCTCATTAAATTGAAGAAATATCAGAAATAACTTCATTTCAGATTTTGGTGAGTATGCATAATTTCTGTTTCTGGTAAGTTGGAAAGCAAACAAA